TTAGTATGGATTTAAATTAAAAATTGATGACAAGGATCTCTATTAAACCACCACTAAATATTTGGAAACCAAACAACACTCACTTTGAAAAAAAAAAAAAAAAAAAAAAAAAAAAAGGAAGAAGAGGAGGAGGAGGAAGAAGGTGGTGGTAAAACTGTTTAAAGATTTATTTTTTTAGTATGTAGTTTGTGTGTGTAGGAATATGTGCATGTGAATACAGGTGCCCATGGAGGCCAAAAGAGAAGCCTCAAATCCTCCTGCAGCTGGAGTTACATGCAGTTGTGAGCTTCCTGGCATGGGTGCTGGGAACTGAATTTTGATCCTCAAAAGCAGTATGCTTTCTTTTTTCTTTCTTTTTTTTTTTTTTTTTTTTTTTGGCTTTTTGAAACAGGGTCTCCCTGCAGCTCCAGCTGGCCTGGAACTCACTATGTAGACCAGGCTGGCCTTGAACTCACAGAGATCCACCTGCCTCTGCCTCCTGAGTGCTGGGACTACAGGCATGCGCCACCAGGCCCAGCTGCAGTATGCTTTCTTAACCTCTTAACCACTAAGCCATTGGTCCACCCACTAAATGGTAACCTTTGTGTTATGGTTGTTTATTTGTTTGTTGGTTTGGTCTTTTTGAGACAGGGTCTCCCTGTAGCTCAGCTGTCCTGGAACTCACTATGTAGACCAGGCTGGCCTTGAACTCACAGAGATCCACCTGCCTCTGCCTCCCGAGTGCTGGGATTAAAGGCGTGTGCCACCACACCTGGCATTGTTTGTTTGTTTTTGAGACGGGGGTCCTGCTGTATCTTACTATAAGGCTGGCCTTGAACTTGAGATCCTCCTGCCTTAGCTTCCACAATGTTGGGATTGCAGCGTGAACTACTAGCTGCAGTTATGTTATGCTTCTTTTTACTATGGCTTTAAAAATTATCCTTCCTTTCCTGACATGTCATGTAGTACATCCGTGTATCCTTTCTTTTTCCTCGAGAAGCAATGTTTCTGACAGCAATGCTTAACTTGGTCTGTGGATCGCTCTTAATTATGACTTTAGATCATTTCTCAGTGTAATTAGTCCATAGTGCCACAGGATGTCACTCTTTAGCTGAAAAATCTATTTCAATGCAGAACAGCAGTTGATCATACCAGAGCACGAGAGCAAGGCCTGTGACTACTTATTGGTGCTTTACCCATAGGAATAGTTTCCTGGGAAAGAAATTTAAAAGGGTTTCCATTAGTGAAATGTATTAATTTCCTACTGCTAATTACAAAACTTTTGTTAGTGTTTCTTTTTGTTGTTGTTAGTTTCTTAATGTTATAGGTATAAACTGTTTTATGTTAAAAATTCAACTTGGGGGGGCTGAACAGATGGCTCAGTGGTTAAGAGCAATGGATGCTTTTACAGAGGACCCAAGTTCAGTTCCCAGCACTCACATGGTGGCTAACAACCATCCACAACTCCAGTTCCAGGATATCTGACACCATCTTTTGACCTCCATGGGCACTGTATACATGAGTGTACTAAAATACATGGAGGCAAAATAGTCAGACACATAAAATAAAAATAAATAAATAAGTAAATAAATTCAACTGATGTCATTAATTCAACAAAATCTAACTAATTTTTTGTTTGTATTTTGGAGACAGAGTCTCTGTGTAGCCCAGCTGGCCTGGACCTCACTATGTAAATCAGTCTGGCCTCAAACTCACAGGGAAACTCTGCCTCCAAAGTATTGGGATTAAAAGCAGGAGCCAACACACCTAGCGCCTAACTAGTTTTTAAATTTTTATTTGTTTATATTTATTTGATGTGTGTGTGTGTGTGTGTGTGTGTGTGTGTGTGAGTGTATTGCCTGCATATCTGTAAGTTCACCTATGTCATGCAGTGCCCATGGAGGTCAAAAGAGGGTATCAAATCCCCTGGAACTGGAGTTATGAACAGTTAGCCACCATATGGGTGCTGGGAATCGAACCTGGGTCCTCTGCAAGTGCAGCCAGTGCTCTAACCACTAAACAATTTCTCCAGCTCCCTCCTCTTTTTTTGAGGTAGGGTCTCCTTGTAGCCCCAGCTGGCCCTGAGCTTACTATATAGACCAGGCTGGACTTGGTCTCACATAGGTCCACCTGTCTCTGCCCCTGAGTACTTTAAAGGCATGGACCAACTCACTCAACTAGTTGGGTTTTTTTTTGGGGGGGGTTGATATTTTATTTTTTAATTACATGTATGTGTAATTATGTATATGTGTGTGAAAGTAGGGTGGCTTGTGACTTTGCCACTAAATGATGTGTGACCTTGGGCAAGTTATTTAATTTTTTTTTTTTTTGAAGAATCTTAGCGAGTTTATTGGATTTGCTAACTGAGCTTGGGGTTAATTTCTATAACTCACCAAATTGGTAAAAATGTATCTTCTTAGGTTAATGTACATTGCTATCTATATATTTTAAATGTGCCACTATATATTTAAGCACATTCTTCTAATTCTAAAGCATTCTGTGTTTCTGTGTTTTGCAGTAGTGGTCAGATTATATTGTCCTAATGCAGTAGCAATGGAAGTTCAGTAACGTTTTACAAAAGAATTATGCTCAAAGTTATACTTTTCAGAGGGCTGGAGAGATGGCTCAGTGGTTAAGAGTGCTGATTACCCTTGCAGAGGACCTGAGTTCACTTCCCAGCACCCACACGATGGCTAACAACTGTCCATCACTCCACTTCCAGGGAATCCAACACCTTCTTCTGACCTTGGACACTGCATGACACAGGTGCACTTACATACATGCAGGCAGTACACTCATACACATAAAATTAAAAAATTAAACATAAACACTTTTCAGTACTGAGGGGGAATGGAGGGCCTTGCACATACTCAGTAAGCTCTCTATCAATGAACATCTCTATCCCCCAGGGTATGCATGCATTAAAAACCAAACCAAACCAAACAAACAAAAAAATCCACTTTAATCCCAGCACTGAAAGGGTGGAGGCAGGTCTCTCTGAGATTGAAGCCAGCTTGGTCTACATGGTGGGTTCCAGGCCAGCTGGGACTGCAAGGAGACTGAGTCCAAAAACAATAAGAAACAAAACAAAATAAAACAAAAAAAGGGGCTGGAGAAATGTCTCAGTGATTAAGAGCACTGGCTGCTCTTGCAGAGGACCTAGGTTTGGTTCCCAGTTCCCAGAACCCACATGGCACTAACCATTAATAACTCCAGTTACATGAGAATTTGACGCCCTCTTCTGGCCTCTTTAGGCATTGCATGACACCAGTGCACTTACATACATGTAGGTAATACACTCACATACAAAAAATAATAAATAACAAATATTAAAAAAACAAAAAAGTTTTATTGTTTTGTGTAGTGTGTATGGTGGGGGGGGACACGTGCCACTGTGTGTGTGTGTGTGTGTGTGTGTGAAGGTGTGCGAAGGCCCAGAGAACAACTTTGTGGTGTCAGTTCTCTCCTACCTTTACATGAATTCTGGGGATGAAATTCTGGTTGCCAGGCTTGTAGAACAAGCAATTTTACTTGCTGAGCCATCTCATCCTCCTCTTGGGAATAAACTCTTAAAATAAAAAAGGTTGTACCGCCGAGTGTGGTGGTGCATGCCTTTAATCTCAGCACTCAGGAGGAAGAGGCAGGAAGATCTCTGTGAGTTTGAGACTAGCCTGGGCTACATAGACAGTTCCAGGCCAGCTGGGGCTACAGGGAGACCCTGTTTAAAAAAAAAAAAAAAAAGTTCATATATATTACCAAGAAAAAGAAAAAGATGAGAAAGATAATGGAATAGATAATGGACTATCCCAAAGCTTAAATTTCAAGGTTATCCTCGGCTATATAAGTGAGTTTTAGGCCAGCCTAGTGTACATGACTGTCTCAAAAACAACGAAATAGTGTTGATAAAGGGGCTTCCTGCTGAGCCTGACAATTTGAGTTTGACTCCCAGTAACCACATGGTGGAAGGAGAGAACCGACTTTCCAAAACTGTCTTCTGACCACTAGTTCTATGGTGTGCACACACACACACTGACACAAAATAAATAAATGTAACAGAAAGAGAAAACCGTGTGTGTAAATAGTATCTCATTTAGAGTATCATTGTTTCATCTTATTTAACCCTTAAAACTTAGATCGTCTTGTTTGAACTTTTTTTCTTCAGATAATTAAATACGGAAAAGGAAAGATTTGTTAAATTTGCATCCTTTTCATCGAGGGAAACAAAACACAACGCTTGTATTTAGTGTCACGAGGCTGCTTGTACCCTACATCTATCTGCGTTGTATGGGTCTGCACGCGCGTGTGTGTGCCAGTAATGGGGAGAAATCCAATGTGAGAGGCTCTGGGAGGGGCATAGAGAGGGAGGCCCCTTCTGTCCCATTGATAACAGGTTCATTCACAGAGAACGGCTTAAAACAGGCTAATCCCTTATAGCAGTCATTCAGCGCTGCTCTAACACTGCTTCGCCACCCACCTCTGCCGGAACTGGTAAGTTTAAAGTGCAGGAAAGGTGCATGTAGATCTAATCTGAAAAGATTTTGTAGGCAGTTTAGAGGAGGTTGTGTGTGTGGGGGGGGGTGAGTGCTTATCCGGCATCGTTTTGCTGTCTCAATAATCAAAAGTTTCAAAACGATTATGTAAACAGTAAGTTGTTGCCGCAGGACAGCTCTTTAGTGTGGCTCCTCGCCGCTAGCTGAGGACATCCGTTTCCAGAAAGTCCGGAAGGTGTTGTCTCAGGTTCCCGTGCCCTTGGAGAGGGCTGCGCGGGATTCCGTCTGTAGCGCTCTCTGCTTCTTCCGCAGGTCGGGGGGTGCTGCTAGCCTCTCCCTGCCTCCACTGAAGCCAGGGAACGCGGGACCGTCGGACGGCCGTCGCGGGATGAGTCCTCTGGGGCCGCGGGCGTCGCTCTCGCTGCTGCTGTTGCTGGAAGGCTGCGTCCTCGCGGCCGCTCGGCGCGACAAGGGAGCGGCGGGGCGCGCGGCGACCCCGGCCAGGGGCCCCGCGGGCGGCTCCTCGGGTCGCTTCGTGAGCCCGGAGCAGCACGCGTGTATCTGGCAGCTCCTGCCGTCAGTCCCGGGGGCCTTGGCGGGCGCGGAGCTGGCGGTGCGCTGCCAGGGCGCGGACGGAGCGCCGCAGCTCTGCGCCTACCGCGGGGAGCCGGAGCGCTGCGCCGCCTACCCTTCCCTCAGCGCGCTCTACTGGAAACAGGTGCTGGGCGCGTTGCGCAGGAAGCGGCGGCCCTGCCTGGACCCCGCACCGCTGCACGCCCGCCTGTGCGCCCGCAGGAAGGGCCCCGGCGCGGAGCTGCGCCTGGCCGCAGTCCCTGGCCCGGCCACGCGCCCCTCCGACCCGCCGCGGCTGAGAGCAGGGAGCCGGAAGCGGCTTCCGCATCCCCAGCCCTCGCCTTCTCCGAGCGCGCCCAGAGCCAAGAGCAAAGCCGGCGGGAGAAAACCGGCCTCCGAGCCGAGTAGGGAACAACCCAGGACGACCCCGCCCAACCCGGACGGGCTGGACCAGAACGCCGAGCTCACCCAGACCTACTGCGCGGAGAAGTGGCACTCGGTCTGCAACTTCTTTGTCAATTTCTGGAATGGCTGAAGTTGCGGGTTTGGCTAGGACTGGGGGCAGGTGCAGGGGGGAGAGGGCAGCGCAGCCAGGGCGGGGAGGCTCCTGGCATCTTAGACCAGGGGAACCGGGATGGAGAGTGGACAGGAGTCCAGACTCCAAAATGGGGCAAGGGTTAGGTGGCCGGGTAGGGAGGATCTGAGGCAGCAGAGGAGTTACGGATTTTTGAGGCGTCTCAGTTCTCATTTAAGAGCAGAAGAAATAGTGAAAACAGATAGGCTTACATTAAGTATGAAAAAACTGTAGACTAGGGAGCTAGGTGAGAACACGGGGGAATGAGGTGACTGAAGGGACGGGAATCTCCCCTAGGAAGTGGTACAATGGATATTAACACCTGTTTATTAAAATGTAACTGTGAGTAATAGCCAGAGCCTGGTTGAATTCTTCAGTGGCTTCTTTTTAACAGACAAGATGACTGATTTTTTTACCCTTTGCTGGATTGGCATGGACTTTGGGCGTGGCTGGGCATCTCACCTAATTTCTATGGGACTTGAAGACTCATAGTTCAAAACTAGATCCCAGAAAACAGTATCAGAATAATCACCTATTTCGTTAGAATTGCTTTTTTAATGCAGTGAGATGAACGTTCTAATGTTCTGAAACTTTGCATTTACTACCAAAAGTAAAAATGAACATTAGAAGTTCGGTGCTTCAAAACAAGCAGAAGGAAAAACCAAACAAAATCTCCATACAGCTCTCTATGCTTGATCACCCTTTTAAAAATCATCTAAAATGTAGGCATGTAATTATACTTTTAAAATTTTATTTTCAAGATGATGTAATGATTGACTTTAATAAAACAAGTATGGCTAAATTTAAAGAATTGATAAGACAACAGAAAGTCTGCTTGTAATTGATCTATTTCCAAATACATCTTAAATTAGTCTCTCTTTCTCCCCCATCCCCCACCTACAGTTCCAACACCCTTGTTTGGCCTCTGCAGGCACCACACATGAAAGTGTTGCACATACATACATGTAGGCACTCACAAATACACATAAAATAAAAATAAAATTTTAGAAAAATATTAGGATTGAACTTAGTTTGAGATTTATGAGGTCACATGCTGTGTAATACTGATCCTTAGATAGAATTCACCATGGCCCAGACTGGAGAGATGGGTCAGCAGTTAAGAGTCCTGACTACTCTTGTAGATGACTGGGTTCAATTCCCAGTACCCATGTGGCGGGTAACAGTCTGTAACTCCAGTTCCAGGGGGATCCGAGGTCTTCTGACCTCCATGGGCATTGCACAACACAGGTACACTCACACACATGAATGTAATGCACTCATACACATAAAAAATAAAAATAATACATATTTTTTTAAAAATTCACCATGGCCAAGGAAAGGAAGCTCAGGGCACCTGGAGACCACTATGATCAACACATACTTTCTCTAAAAAGACAGTCAAAAAGCATGTATCACAGTCGGGGGGGCGGGCAGGCAGATAAAACCATACTATCTAGAACCATGGCTAGAATCATGGTCTCAGCTCTCTATGAAAGGAGACTGCCAATCCCTTCCTGTGTGCCCTTTGATAGTCCAACAAATTTCTTTCTAAGAAAGGGGAAAGGCCAAACAATATCTAAGCACAGTGGTAGCCACTGCCTCTGCTCCTTTACTCTCTGAGAAGAGCTGTGCCAGGACTCTGTCTCAGGAACAAAGAGAGAGGGATGGGAGCCAACTAAGTGTAGCGGAAGGGAAGTGATCAGATTCTTGTATCTGCTTTTTGAGTGACCTTGCCAGTATCGGTGTCTCCAGGTCTGTATATTACAGAGATTGGTTTGGATTAAATCTGAGGTTCTTTTTTTGTTTGTTTATTTGGGTTTTGTTTTGGTTATTTTTTGTCTTTTTTTCAACTATTTATTTATTTTGTGTGTATGAGTGTTACACCTGCATGTAAGTATACCTGTGTTGTGCAGTGCCTACAGAGGCCAGAAGAGGAGGTCGAATCCATGTAACTGGAGTTACAGTTGTTAGCCACTGTGTGGGTGCTGTATTCGAACCTTGGCCTTCTGCAAAAGCAGCCAGTGCTTTTTTTTTTTCTTCAACTTTTACAAAAACTTTATTGAGAATTTCATACATGTATATAAGATGTTTTGATCAAACCCATGCCCACGCCCTCCCCTCCAACATTCCCCCCTCTGAAAAGGTAACCCTAAAATCTTTTAAGGATTAGATACAATCTCCCAAATACTTTTGACATTTTTGGCCTTTGGAACTGAGTATGTTGCTAACAGGTCCAAGGACATTTTGACTTTTAGACAGGAAACTGGCTACATTTCTTTGGGGTATTTTACCCTAACTGCCTAGCCAACTCCTACCTCCTATTCTTATCATGCCATCCTCTGAAGGGGTTACCAAATTGTCAATAGGGAATAAGGACACTGACCGCTCGGGTTTCTTCCATGTTGAACAGGGACACAGGGTGAGGCAATTGGAATACCCCTTCAATGGGTCTATCTAAAAGACTCCCAAATTGTATAACTCTTGTCTCTAAGGGGAAAAGAAAGCCCTTGAATCATAAATAGGAGATGTGAAGGAAAAGTAAAGGCAAGAGTTAGCATTACAAGTTCTAGACAGGGAACTAGAAAAAAGTCAGAA